ACCACTAGGCTATGCTAACAGACAACTTAACTGACACAAAATCTACTTTTAAAAATAATGCATGCTTTAAATGCATGCGGATGTACAAAAGCACATTAAAAAAACCCCATGCATTAGAAAAGGTATTTACCCACATATATTGAGCGGATTAACCTGTCCTGCTTGGGTTTTCAACCCTAATTTAATTATGAGTTAAGGAGAGCCAAGTGAGCCTTCCTGAAGCAAAAGTACCTCCCTAACACTGCTATTCTAACTCGACAGAAATAAACAGGCTTTTAGCATTTTATACAGGAATTTTTTAGGTCAAATTTTGCTTATTTCCTCTGATGATTTGTTTTAGATTCAAGACTGCAACAGAAGAAATTAATAGAAATGTTAAAAAAACCTCCTTCTGTATGGATGTTGGCTTTACTACCTTAATAAAGAAGATTAAAAAAATATCTTGTATGTGCTCTGCATTTTACACAAGGAAAAGGTTACCACATTCTATGAGGAGAAAACAAATACATTACAAATTATAAGAAGGGAATCTGAAGTATCATGAATTGCCAATAATCAGAACTCTTCTACAAGTCCCTATTAATGAGTGACATTTACCTTGTCGTTACTCAGAATTTCTAGCTGTGCATGCTTCCCCTTGTAATCTATTGACAGGGTTTAAATAGAAGAGGGTGGTTATATATCCTTTGGGTTGTTTCATATTTTGAGAGCCTTTCATGCAAGAATAAAAAAAAAAATCTAAAATAAATAATAGGATTATATTTGCTGTAAGATGTACATGAATATTCCTTATTCTTAAGCATATAACAGAATGCATAGAAAAATCACGGAGTGTTTCCTTGATGAGTCATAAGGATTTTTATTTCTTGCTGTTAGAAAGGTTACAATTTATAATGAAAAAAATACCAAATTTATAATTTTATTTGAAATATAATTATTTGTTATGACTGTAGAAACTCAAAGAGGGAACATGATCTGAAGGTGCTGCAGTCCAGAATACTATTTGTGAATTAAAAATCTCAGTTTAATTACAAGACAGTATAATTCGTAAAACGGAATATTCTTGAAGCATAAATGTGAGACAGGTTTTGAAGACTTTCAGCATATTCCCTGTGTCAATAAGTAAAGTCAGTCTTAAATAGGAGAAACTTTTCTGAAGGAGTAACTGTAAACCCAGAATTAGTTTGGGCCTATGGGTTTTGCTGACCCTGCAGAAACTTGAAATATTTAAGCGTAGCTCCCATATCTGAAAAAATGGTCTCTTATTACCATTACTTTTTTTTTTAATCATGATAGAGCATTTATCTAATAAAACCCCTCTTGCTGCAATTGGCTGTGGGGTAAAATTTTAATTCAACTTTGAATAAATTTTGAGATTCTCAGCTGAAAGGCATTATCTAATGCCAACAGATTGCTTTTTTCTCCTATGAGACAAATATGAATCTTGTATGCTAGCTTGTTAACTCGGACACAAAAAATGTAAGTTGTCTAGTTCAAAGACTGGACAAAGATAAAGTATGAGATGTTTCTGAAAAATAAACTGAAAAATTAGAACTTAACTGGGGTAATCACACTAACTACTTTAGAAGTTTGTTATTAAGGTTGTAAAATTCAGCTCGCTAACATGACGAAATTGCAGCAGCAAGGATGATCACATTCTTTCATCCTTTTATTTCCCTATTTTTTTTGTGTACTCTATGACACTGTGCTTGAATATCTGACCACGTACTAGAAGTAAAACAAAACAAAACAAAACAAAACACAGTAAAATAAAATAAGCTAAACAAAAACCTTCCAGCCCTTGTCACTATTCAGGATAGCAGCAGCTGCCTTCCAGCACTTCAACACTTTAGTTTCTCCTATGGCCTGTTTCATTGCATGTTACGCAAACACTGCTCTACAGAGAGAATCAGGTTATTTGCTTTTCTACCTCGTGCAGGTTCACCAGGGAGCTGCAGAGCCTGGCACTGCAATGACACTGCCCAGCAGAGCATAAGCCTTTGGCCATGTGTTAGAGAAGTGACCATAACCCACTTCCCCCAGCTCGTGAGGTCTGCAGGAACCATTTCTACCAGTTCCTTCCAAAGATTTAGCTCCATATGTCTACGACACTGGGAGGTGCTATTATTCGCAGGTCATAACAGGAGAACTGAAGTACTAAAAACTTTAGGCTTCAGATATTAAGATGAAGATCTAAGTTTTAAGATATTTGGACTCTAACAGCACAATGTATATTTACAGCCCAGTTTCCACTGATTTCAGCTAGTAGCTGTGAGTGTTGGGCACCTCTATAAAATCAGATTCCAGTTTATCATATGGCACAGGAAACATATACCACCAGTTACTATAGGTGAAAACGTTTCAGTCTCTTACAGGCAGGTCCTGTGTAGCACAATCAGGGAAAAAAGCCAGTTCTTCCAGGCATCCCTCAACTACCTTAACTGTAAAATATTCTCTTGCCTTCCCACAATATTGTCCATCATCCACCGTGTGTTTCCAGCCTATTCACAAATGAGGATTTCTCTGATAACACAGTATCAGTTCAGAACCAGAATAGCTTTAATCTGTGTGTTGAAGCAGGTGGGAATCCCTCTTGAAAAAATAGCAGATGACCACTTAATACTTACACTCCCCCAGGAAGTCAAGAGAAGGCTGCAGAGAGTGTCTAGATGATGGCTTTTCATGACATTAATGGTTCCTGACTGTACACATTAATAATTCTTCTAGCAGGTGTTTTTTTCCCTCCAAACAAACACTCTCTTCCTTCCTCTCACTGCAAGCCCAGTGCCATCGTACAGTATTTCATCAACCTTTTCAAAGGTTATGGGAGGAATTATTAACCTTTTATTTCATTTCACATATATTTATGGTGGAGGAGTCCATACAGCCCTCCCTCGGTGCTCTAACTTTTCTAGACAAATGTGTAGGTAATAATCATTATAGGTAATGGCTATAAAGAAAGGGAAATGATGACTGACCTTGAACATTTTTGGTGGGAAGAACAATATTTGCCTGGAGAATAGTGACAGCAATGACCCTGAAGTGAAATGAAGAAGTAAACAACTGTGCCAGGAGATGAGGATTCAAAATCAACGTGAGGAAGTAACCAGCAGCAGCAGATGAAAGGAATAACGATTGAATTAAATTACTGAAAGTAATATTTGATTGGGCAATCCATTTAATGCTCAGACAAGAAGACTAGTGATATAAACCAGCATGGAAAAGCAAACTGGGGGTTAGGAAGACCCTCTGAAGACCCCAGAAGAACAGCTCCCAGCCAAGAAAGCCTCTGGGGAAACCCAGGAGCATGACGGGAGGAAGCATTGATGCCTGGACCCAGGTCAAAATAAGTTGCATGTTATACCCTAATTGGGGTTGCAGACAGCACGACCCCAACATTAGCAGTGACCTGATCAAAAATGGTGACTTCTGGTCACCTGTTGGGATAGGTGCATGGGAGCACAACGTCCCTGATGTAAATGTAGTGTGGAATATGCAACCAAACCACGTCACGTGCAAGTTAGATGCATCTGTTGTGTATTACTCATCACTGATGTTGTTCAAGTCATTCCGTCCCCATGGCTGCCTTTGGACAAACCATTGAAGAACACAGGCAGCACCATGCCACCCCTGCAGCATTCACTACTTCAACTGTCTGAATACCTTCCAGCAGCAAGAGACTGAAACCATGCTAGTGGACTGAATCTAGACAAGGATATGCCACAATTACAAAACCATTTCAGAGGTGTTTGGTGAGTGCAAATGAATGTGGCGTGGGGTGGGGACTGACAGGAGAGCATCATTCTTTAGTACAGACAAGCACTCTTCTCTCCTCCCTAGGTCCTCTCCACTCCAACTTACTCATGTCAGCCCAGTCTTCCTGCTCTCTCCTGCCACATTATCCCATTTCCATTATTCATGTATTTGCAGCCCTACTTCTAAGTCTTCTCATTTCAGTCCCAGTCTCCAAGCACAGTAGCTCCAGTTCTCCCACTGGCTTCACGACTGGTTTCCCTCTTTTTCCTCCCAGCTCCTGGTCACCAGCCACAGGTCTCCAGCCAGCAAGTCTCATTGTTGCAGTCCTGATCATTTGTGTCTAAGTTTCCCAAAACCAAAACTAGGTCTGAGCTTGATACCTGGGAAATTTCAGCCCAACCAATTACAGCTTTGCCAAAACTTAAGTAAGTTTGTTTTTTTTTAAATATTGAATATAGGAAATTTTGGCAATTGCTGTCTGTATACAATAAGCAGAATATTAACTGGAGGAGATTAAAAAGAAATCTAAATAGTATGGCCACTACATTAATTCTACATTAACATGTTGAATAGTCCTCTTTTTTTGAAATGTACTTCTACTTAATTCAGAAGAAGTTAAAAGGCTGGAAAACAGCCCTGGTAATTGCTTTATAACAAGAGATACAGCCTTGCTTACTGTCGGCAACACTACCTGGTTTTGCAGTCGGGATGAGGAATAGCGGTGGCAGTTGTCTAGGGGAGCTGTCTTTATGAATAATCTATGCTATATAGTTTCAGTGTTGGGCAGAAAAAACATCCTTAAACTGGTATTCGTACATAAACTCCTTTCAAGAGAAATACCATACAGCAGACAGAGAAAGAAAAGGGGAGACACTGTTGCAAGTACCATCACGTTCCTATTTTAATGGAAAAATATGTTTCTCCTAAATATCAACTTTTTTTCCCAAAGTGCTATAAATTGTAATATTCAAACCCAGTTTCTAAATGACACTGTACTCTTAGTTCTGCATTTCAGAGTTAGCTCATCATGTCTTTACACATCACTGAACACCTGAAATGAATGTTTTTCCTGACTATTCCAAAATTTATGTATAAAATGAGGATATAATACAATGGCATACTATAGGAACTGTTGTACACATCTATAATATTTTACAAACTTTATGTTTTTAGCTACGTATGCTTAAACACAGGCACAATGAAGCAAAATAATAAATACAGACAGCCCAAAAATGGACACTTACCCACAGTGCTTCATGTGAGGTGGTTTATCCATTCTCACCGCCAGTTTAATTTTCAAGTCACTGTCCTGGCTGTTTTTGGGAACTATCATTTTATGCAGATCAGGTGACTTTGGGCTATTGGATGTTGGATACAACACTACCTGCAAGTCATAAAACAAAAACTTCAATGAGTTGATACAAAAAAATCTGGTAGTCTTTAATGGACACTTCTAAGCAGTGAAGATTCTTGTTGCATCTCCTCCAATCTGAAAGATGACTAAAAAAGGTTTCATAAATCTAATAAACCAGTTGACTCAATCTTATTGTACTAGACGAATTTCCAAAATTAACTCACTCATTTTCTTACAAATGGGAATTTTCATATTATGAGTTAAAATTTCCTCCTCTGTTAGTTCATTCTGAATTAACAGTTTTAAACAAAAGGAACAGTTGACACTTGAAAATGGTCATTAAATGGTACAATTAAACAAGAACCTAAACTTTTACATTACTCAGTGCTCTGCTGGAAACATCCTATTGAAACAATTTGCTGTAGCATTATGCAACAGATCGCCCCTCCAGCTGTGACATTGCTTGAGTGAAGAAAACCAAAATATGCTCTTTCTTACCAATTCCATTTTCTGATCATTAGCATTAATAAAAGCCAATTATAGTAAAAATTGCAGAAATTGGAGATTAATTCCAAAGCATCTTTGCTGCAAATGGAGTATAATAAGTGTAAGATACTATCTCCAGTTCACATGTGATATGACAATAAACCTTTTGTTTAATCTACAGTGGTAGACATATAAAAACCTAAAAATTACACTGAATTTTAAAGATTTAATTTTTAAAACATTTATATAAATTTGATAGTTTTACTAGCTAACCATTATTTGAGATTAATATTAGTCACAAGCTGTTAAATATTTATTTATTTACCATCCAGAAAGTTTATCCACTTATAATCAGTACAATTAAATATTACTACTTCATGAAATCCTTACCCACAGTCACAGGTTTAGCAGTTAAATGCTGCTGAAACATAAATTCCTTTCATTCTTATTATAAGCAGTACTTTTGAATCATTTAGACTCTAAAATATTCTAAACGCACTATTTGGGAGACTTTCATAACATTGAGTTCTGAATTGCCATTATCACGAAGTAGTATTTCAAAAGTAACAACACTCTAAAAAGCAGCGTTCTTCACATCTTTTATTTCTTGAAAACTCAAATTAATTATAACATTAACCATCAAGTTAATTTCTTATACATAGTCCTTGTACCTTGTGTCACGTATATAAAAAGCAATGTATTCTTCTCTGTGTTATTAGGGAAGTTAAGTCAAGGATTTGAGTAAGAATCTCCAGGCAAGCGTAAATCTAACAGATATTATTAAGCCAAAAATATTACAATAGTGTCATTCAGATCTAATAATCTGAAAGATGACGTAAACTGAAGGCCTTCAGCTCCTCATCTCAGTATTTTGCAGAAACATGTTCCTGCATCCTGTTAGTATCAGGAGCTTTAGTGAAGCAGAGAAATATGATGCATCACCCCTAATCAAGCGTGCAGCCTTTATAACACCAGTGAGAGAAATAACCTGTCAGAACTATTGAGTACGTTCAGTACCTTTTAAAAAGATAGGAAAAGAAAAAGTATATTCTGGTTTTAATAAATCAGGGGGCTATTTGTTTTTTTCTTTTTGCAAATACATAGCAAACACTATTTATAACAGAGCTTATTCCTTCTTTCCCAAGAAACAAGCTGATTTTCATTTTGAGTAAAAGCCATCCCTTAAAATTTAAAAGCATTATGAGTATGGCAACCTTTGAGTTCTGAAGCATCAAAGAGAAAATGATTTTTAGTTTGTTTATCTTTTTAAATGCAAGATTATATAAACAGAATTTTACTCATTCCTTGCATTTTATCACTTGGCATTCACTAGGACTGTAGGTGACGTTATGAATTTTTCCTTTTCTACAGGCTGCAGTTCCTGTTGTCCTGTAACAGCTTATTACAGCTCATGCATCTCAAGCAACATCTTTCTCCTGCCCACTTCTTGAGTTTTTAGAATGCTGATGAAAATATAAGCAGACAAGTGTAGAATTAATTCATAATTTCACTACTGACAATTCCTTTTCTGAATTTTTAAAGAAGTATTTTGGAGCTTCATTTTCAAATCTCTCACAATGAATATGTATCTGGCAGAATATTTAAGTATGCACTGTGTCGTGTTTGTACTACACTTTGTCATGCCTTCCAGCTTTAAGCAATGAGAGCTAAAAGAACTTTGTCATCAACCTTTTTATCATTACACACACAAACACACGTACACACATGCACACAAAGAATGTGACAGGCATTAATTGTCTTCACAATAACCTTTATACTAATATTGCCCTTAAGGGCAATACTAACCATTGTGTACCATATCATCAGGTGGCACAAACTATAAGATCCCATGAAATCACTGAAACCAAAACACTGGGCAAATGTTCCTTGATAGGAAAAGTAAAAAGTAATACAAAAGAAATTTGTATTAAAAGCATTCTCTCTACTATGGCACACTGCAACGCAATGTCATTGCCATTGTCTATGGAGAAACTTTCTAGGCTATTCTGTCTCAGATTTCCTTTCAGCACTGCTTAAGGGATTTTAATCTTCTAGTTGTTGTTCTATAATCTACTTTAAAAAATAAAATGCTATCAACTCATATGTCTTCTCTGGGGGGTATAAAACTCACCTACAGGATACTTTTTCAATGTGCCTAAAACTTCTAAAAGTTTCATAAAATTCCTACTACATCATACATTTCTGAATTAATTTTTATTTTATTTTAATTTATCTTATTTTATTGTTCTTATACCTGTGAATATCACCATAGTAGATTATTCAGCAGCAGCACAGAGAACTATGAGTTGTTAGTCTAGGACTGTGTTTACAATAAGTAAACTAACAGGTAGTCTGCATTAAAAAGTATAATGAACTATTAATGACCAGAATGCTATACACCAAACATAGCTGCTGTGCATTGCATTGCTTCAGCTGATTTAAGGCAAATTAATAGTATCAGAACAATGTGGGTTGAGATAATTCAGTAAATTCAGCCATCTCATGTTCATTAAAAATGCTCGACCATGTGGTCCGATTACATCTAGTATTACATTTCCTCAGACGACACTAGCTGAAAAAGTGGCAAGTTCACTTTATGCCTCTCCTCATTTGGATGTAAAATAAACACAGAAATCTTAAATATTATAGAGCAACACTTTTATGGATTTGTGCAAAGTGATGTTCTGAAAACACTGTTTCTTAATCGTGAATGACTGAAAATGTTTCTCTCCAGGACTTAAAACATGACAGGTTGAAAGATATGAAACTAATATCATTTGACGACTTAACTAACCATCCTTTATTGTTATTCAGTTGTGTATTTAAGTCCCCGGCTGGATCACAATAGAAGAAGTTACTTGAAGTACACCTGAGCCAAAGAGCCAATCCAGCCAAGCAACTATTAACTCTCCTCTATCTTTGGCACATTGATCATATCTTCTTTTAAAAGTATGAAAGAAAAGTTGAGTTGTCCAAAACCCACTGAAAGCTTGAACAAACCAAACTTGGGACAATCTTGCCTTCTCAGAGCAGATAACCAAGCAGAAGGTTCAGAGTCAAAAGCGCTGTGCAGAAATACCTCCTATCGGTATTCCTATGTTTAGCTAAAGCTCTCAAGCTAACCATCCCTGGCTGCAGTTGTCCTGTTGTCAAAAGAAAATGCAGCCTTCAAAAGGGACCAATGAAGCTAAGAGGTAAGCAGACTGGCAAGCCGTAAGCACACTTGAGAAAAATCAAGCATCAAGATAATCTCTACTTTTTCCCCCACCCCACCCTTGCGGCTGAATTTAGTTTCAGCCAACTTGATGTCTTCACATCCTGGCTGCTCCCCCTCCCCATCCCCTGCTTCCACCCAAACCCATGATATTCGAGACTTGAACCCCAGTGCTGGAGTTACCCACTCTTTTGACCCAAGTATTTGAAATGAGATTGGTTTTACAAGTTGGGGTGGTCTAAGACACGTTTTGAGATCTCAGACCTTGGGCACCAGACCTTGGTAATCATGGTAATTCTGAGCAGACTATGCTGAGTTTTGTCTCACTGTCACAAGCAAAAAAGATGAAAGTGAAGAAGATCTGCAGCTGTTCCTTAATGCCCTGGCTGAGAGGCAGATGACACTTAACATGCTATTACAGAAAACCTTTATCTCGCCTTCAATACGGGTCACACCACACAACCTTAAAGAAAATAAAGATGCAGCCCATCCACAGTCTCTTCTTCATAACACAGCCTGGGCCATCTTCAAAAAGCAGACCAAACCCTCAACCTGTCCCCATCCCCAGGAAGGTGCCCAATGCCTGGGGCTGCCCTGGTGTCCCCCATCCTGCCCTGCTCCCTGCCACCCCAGGGAGCCCCTGCTGCTTCTGGCACCCAGCTTCCTGTCCTTTCTTCAAACTGCATGGTCCCCAACAGGAAAGCCAGAAGATTTTATGAGACAAAAGAAGTTCCCATGCCTGATGTGCTCTTCCAGAGCACAAACGGTGCTACAAATGATTGCTTTTTGCGATTGACCAAACCCACATTTTCTTTTTATCTTATTCCTTATCTAGGATGAAAAATTTTAGCCTCAACACTTAAGGTCTGGCTAAGTTACAAGCAATTGAGAACTGAATCTTACGTCACCTTAATCATAAGCAGCATTGTGATCTCTGTTCAGAATAAACAATACACTTGTGGTAATGCAAGAAACCCCATGATGAACTGGAGAAACCAAATTCTCTAACTCCCGTGCTCTACCAGAGACACTTCTAACTCAATTTGCGATTATTTAAAACTATGAAAAACAGTGAGTGCCCGACACAGAAGATCACACGCTCCCTCAGCTGCATTTCTTGAAGCTTTCATCATGCAACAGGACTATTTCATTCTATGGAAGGCTTTTTCTTTCATGTTTTAAAATGTAGTGATTTGAAAAGGTGCCAGTGCAACAGAAAGGAGAGGCAAATTTTATGTTATGAAATAAGCACTCATTATTATTTGGCACATGCAAATTTATGCTGCTAGTCATTGTCTGATTAAAGATCACAGGAAAATTTCCTAGTTAA